TAACCATATATTCAGAATGAGGAAGTTTTGTTTCAGTGAAGTTATCTTTAAATATTGCCTTTTGATTAATTCATTGAGCAAAACCATATTGTGCCTTTTTGGAACATGAACAGTGTATCTAAAAGATGAACAGTGAATATACTCTTGTTTGATTGTTCTCAGTTAAAAAATGGAGACATACAGATACACATGTATTAATAATCCTCAAACTATAGCTCTCAATTCCCGAAGACATGGAAGCCAAAATTACACCAATAATCATGTAATAGTACATGTCCTAGCACTGGATAAAGTGCAGCATATACCTCATCATCCATATTTGAGAGGTTTATTCCTTTGGCCTCTCTTGCATTAGTTGATTGCTCTGGTCTTTAGTAAAATATAAATGGTAAAATAGAAGATAGTAATCCCACATACTGAAGCACCTCAGAGTTTAAGGTCCTTGTTTAAGACTTGTTTGGATCCCATGTGACTCTGACAGACGGTTTGGACTGGCAGCACCATAGGCAAAGCAAACACATAGCAGTGGTAGTGAGTTGGTTCATGCCACCACTGTGATTTATTTGTCTGTACTTGACCATGTCAACTTCAAACTTGAAAGACTGGTGGTATAGAAGGGGACATCAGTAGAATATTTTTCCATTACCATCACTAAATTGAAGAACTTGTAGTATTTATAAGCCAGTATGATAGTATCTTTCTACTGTAGCACTAAGGTAAAGAGGTTTTTCAGAAGTGTGAACTAAATATAGGACCCAACTTCCAAGACAGGTTGGAGTTTGTAGTCTAACTCCCCCTGTTTCTCCTTTTTTTCTTAAACCTCTTCACATTTAATTTCTAGTTTAAGGTTTTGGACTGACTGTGCCAGCATTTAAATGAGCTTAGTTCTCATGATCATGTAAATAAATTCAAATTCTGAAGAAGATACTGAGTAACTTTGATGTGTACAACGATAGAAGTATGTAAATGTAGTTCCTTTTTTTTTACTGCTATTGAAAGCTTAAATTTTATTTCAGATTCCTCAATTGAAAATGGTGTTCACAGAGTAATTGTTAGTTCCATGTGGAAAAAAACCTTGGAGTTGAGATTTTGAAATAAAGCAATTACCACATCACTTGGATTTAAAATTGGTGTTCTTCAAGGAGCAGGAAATAAGCTATTGATATGATGAGGAAAAAATTTTAAATGCTGTTCAGAACCATATTTTATATTTCTCTCTGTAAAAACTGATCATCAGAAATATCTAAATTATTTGTACATAAATTCTAATTAGCTCTACTGAGAGCATTTTGGGAAATGAGTGCTTATGGAAGTACTTTGGGTAAAGCCACTATAAATCAATGTCCACATACTTGAAGACTGTTTTTCCCTGGTGTGCTGAAGTCTGTGCTTTTCAAAGGAAAAAATAACACAATCAGTGCCGATGTTTAGTAGATCTGATTAGTTTTCAGTATATCACTTTAACTATTAATTTAACAGAAAATCAGAAAGTACTGTCCTTCAGGAAATTATCTACCTGCCTGGGTAGGAACAACTCATTTTGCCTAGAGAGATTGGAATAAGTATAAGAAGGTTGGCATGAGGAAAGCTGAGCTATACTTTCCTGATCATCTCGAAAATAATTTGCCGTATCTACAGTTTCAGAGAAGGAAGGTATTGACAGTGGTAATCTTTGGTTTAGGGCACAGAGAAAATGAGGGAAATTTTTGCTATTTAAGATGGATGGTTTGAAAACTGCAAATGACTGAAAACAGAATTTAAACTGCTTATGAACCTGGGCTGTGACAAAGGCTTGTCTTCCTTAATTTTATCCAGTTTCATGGAGCCAAAGGCAAAAATGGATCTTTTGAGGGGGGAGTGTGAGCAAGTTTCCTAAACAAAGCAAAGCTCACCATTAATGCTGTACTGGATAAAAGTTATTGTTGTATCAACTAAAATTGAATTACACCGTGGCAAAAAGTAACTCATCTTTTAATCTGTTTTCAGCCACAAGATTGATATATGAAGCAAAGACAGCTTTTTATTTTTTGATGACTTATTTAGCAGTATATGCTGCCCACCTGCTGCTAATATCTATGAAAATACCATAGCTCATCCATCGTAGGTATTAATTGCTACACTCAGTAGCAGTGGAAGGGAAATAGTATTTGGATTAATAGTCCAAGCAAACCTGATGAATTTCCCATCTCTGTACTTCATTTCCCCATCTTCTCAGATGAGGTACAGCAGAGGATCAAATGCGGTGGCTTTTTTCTGTAAGGACAAGTGACAGGGATATGGAGACACATGGTAGGAGCAACTGGATTGCCAACAAGAGTGATGGGACCATTTCCCAGGCACTGAAGCTGGTTTAAAAATGTACTTTTGTTCCAAAGCAGGGGTAAAGAAATGCCACTCTCAGCCCTCCACAGAGAACAGGCAGTGATGAATGGCAGTGGAGACACTGGGAGGGGGATGACAGCAGCAAGAGGTTTCCTAGACTGGACCAGCAACACGCTTCCCTTAAATGGAGCAATCCTGAAACAGTGACCCAGAGCGTTTTCTCCTGCTCTTGTTTAATCTTCAGTTGGGTCATAAGCGGTTTGAACAGCAGACCATTCCTCTTTGCAATGAAATAATTACCATTTAGGTCTCTGCAATAGTAATAAGGTTGGCTGTGCAGGCTGGGGGGAAGAATGTCCCTCCACTGCCCTGCACTGTCACCACCAGCCTGGTGGGAGATGACAGGTCAGGCAGGAGTCGGGTCCCTGGCCACAGCGCTGGGCTGCAGGGCTTCAGGCTTGCTCTTTTTAATATGTTACTCTGTGATTTCCTCAGTGCCTGTTCAAGTGCATCAACATGTGTATAAATTACTCCTGTTTCCAAAGACCAAATTACTTGTTATCACTAGCATCAGTTATTTGATGGACGATTACCCATCTGCTTTTGCACATGCAAAATAAAAAAAATTAAAAAAAAAAAAAAAATCTCTGCTGCCGTTTCTGTGAACGGGGTGGTGCCTATAGGCAATTTCAGGTTAAATCTGTAAACCATTCCCATCCTGATAACACTTAACAGTGCAAAATGAAATAAATGAGGTTTTAGAGCAGAACTGGTATTTTAAGTGAAACCTAGAAGGTGCTTACTGTGTGGGCAGAGGCCAGCCCACAGTCAACATTAACTAAGAAGGACTGAGTTGTCATTTCAAAAAACACAAAGGTCTCAACATTTCCTGTCAGCAAAAATTCTTTTGATTATACCTGTCTCTTTAATGTCAGGTTGCTATTCATTTTTAATTGACGTGTGGCAGCTCTTCCAATGCTGTGCAGAGTTAGCTTTCTGTGAAGATTTGACTGTATAATTGGGTGGTGGGGCTGGATTTCATTTTAAAATAAATTGGAAGAAACACTTGTATACTAAAATGTGGTCTATAATTAATCCTATGGTAGCATACAAATAATTGTATAATTAATTAATGTATTGTACAATTAAATATACTTATTTTGTTTATTCTTCAAGTAAAAAAGAAAATAGTGTTGCTTCTGACCCTGCTGTTCCTGTCATGCTAATTGCTTGGTACAAAATCGCAGCAATTTGTAGCACATCCTTATGGTTGCCTACACTTGGATATGTTTCTTTTAGACCAAATATATGCCCCCTAAAATGAATACTTGACATTATTTATAGATAAAGATATGTGTATATGTTAAGCACATGTAAAATCATACCTATATATAAGGAAACGTGGGTATACACTGACTGCCAATGACACTTGGACATAAGATCTATTTATGAATAGGAGTGCTCCCGGGGATCAGGACAGACTCTGAAAAGTGGGATTCTTAGTAGCCAGCATGTGAGAGGTGGTGAGCATGCAGGGAATTTTCAATGCTAATACACTATTGTTTCTTCATACCTTTCAACCCTTTTGTCTGAGGGATCTGCTTTTGACAAAATTCAAATGTATGTAGAGAATTTAGAAACCTCTAGTTGAATTGTACTCGTTTGTCTGCCAATGCAGTGCGTGGGATGAAAGCAAATGAGGGGTGTGTTGGTGTTTAACGTTATGTAGATTTGAAATTACTTGGGCAACACATTGAAAGATAAAACTTTTTGTCTGTTTGGAACATTATTGGTAAAGGGCTATACGTTTACACGTGTAATTGGATGAATTCCAAATTCCGGACAGGATTTCCATTGTCTTTCTTTAATTTCTTTGGTTTGGTTCTTCCCTCAGGTTTTCTTGTATAGAAGGATGTAGGCAGAGACTGTGGCAGCTCACAGTGAACACACACACAAACCATTTCCATTTGTTTCCTGTATATACTCACTGGGGATGATATTTCCTCCCATGGATGGGTAAAAGCTATGGCAGTAATTTTTATATATGTGAGCCCTCAAACTATGAATTAAAACCCCTCTGCCGGGTGGCTTGCAAGACGGAGTTTCTTCAGCAGTGACTATATATAAACTGGTGTCTGAAGAGAATTTGTTTTCCTCTATAACTCATAAATATTTTGGGGTTGTTTTTTCTTCTGTATAAACTAGAAAACCTTTTCACTTTGGACAGGAAAGGGTATGTAGCTAAAAAAAAAACCAAGAAAAAATGTGGCTCCTTTCAGCATTCAGGTATTGCCCTTCCAGACAGGTACCAGGAATCGGTGCTGTGGGCTGGAGCGGGGAGGATGGCTGTACCCCTCTGGCCTGGAAGATGAAACTTTAGGCCTGTAGTGTTGTCACTTCACTGGAGCTTCTTGCAGGGCAACACCTCTCAGTGTATATGATAACAGCTAAAAAATAGAAGTGTAGGCAGGTTAAGGAAACTTAGTGGCATGTGTCCAAGTCAGTTCAGAATCCACATACGTTGTCTCCAGGGTGGTTTTCCAGGGAAGGGTTTCCCATTCCCCAAACACCTTCTTGGTGCATCTCCTTCCTGGACATTGAGACACCTAGTAAGGAAACCAAGACAATACCGTTTACATGCTAAATGTGGTTCCTCCGGGTCTCCTGTGACTAGAGGTGTGCTCTGAGCAAGCCGAGACGGGTCCCTGCCGCGCGATGATCTCCCGCTGGTACTTTGACGTGGCCGAAGGAAAGTGCGCGCCCTTCTTTTACGGCGGCTGCGGCGGGAACCGGAACAACTTTGACTCGGAGGAGTACTGCATGGCGGTCTGTGGCAGCGTCAGTAAGTGCCCCCCACGCCCCCGGGCTCCCGCCCTGCGGGCCCGGGCTCCCACTAACCCCTGGCCGCGGTCTGTCTGAAGCCTCCGCTCTCCGCTCGACCCTCCTCAGCCTCTCGCTAACCCGGCTGTCTCGGTGGCGGGCGCCCTGGGTGCTGCAGGTGGGGCCCTGCAGGGGCAGCTCAACGCCCCGCGCGGCCCTGGGCGAGGCCTTCGCGCTCACCTGCTCTCCACCTTCTGTCCAGGCTGCTGACGTTCTCTGTCTCTCTGGGTGTGCATGTG